TAAGCGATCAAACAATCCGAAATCGTTTACGTGAAGTGGGTCTGCGATCCCGTAGGCCGCTCAGAGTTCCACCTATTGCACCCTGCAATCGCAGGACCCGTTTACGATGGGCTCGCGAACACAGAAACTGGGAGGAAGAAGACTGGCGCTATGTGGTGCTTTTCGGATGAATCCCGCTTCGGTATGAGACCGGATACAAGACGTACTCGAGTTTGGAGAACATCTGGATGTTATGAACGTTTGAGATATTGTCAGGAAGTTCATCCATATGGTGGGGGAACAATAATAATATGGGCCGGTATTTGGATCGGCGGAAGAACCGATCTCATTTGGATCAGGGGTAACCTCAATGCTCAAGTTTACGCAGAGAGGATTGTTTCAGATGTTATCATCCCTTTGCGAGGCCAGTTGGGTGATTCATTTCAACTAATGCATGACAACGCACGTCCACACACGGCTAGAGTCGTAACACGCATTCTTGCCGAAGCTCGTATCAACGTTCTGCCGTGGCCTGCTCAATCGCCAGACCTCAATCCAATTGAGCACGCATGGGATATGCTTCAAAGAAGAGCTGTGCCGAGTATGCATACCGTACATACTCTACAACAATATTTTGACTTGTTACAAAACACATGGGCGGCCATTCCTCAAAGTGATTTTGATGAACTCATCTTAAGCATGCCAAATCGCTGTAATTGTGTGATTCGTGTTAATGGTGGAAATACATAAATACATTTACAATAAAAATGAGCAAAATCATCATTTTCGCCATTTTTTTGTCATTTAATTGACGCCGTTAATTTGAGTTTTTTCCCACAATTTGCAAAAACATCAATTTTAGTTTATTTTAATTAAATATAGGGGTAAGCGGTTAAATAAAACATAAGCATTAAAGTAAGAAGTCGTCCTGGAAGACTGGATTTGGTAAATATTGCTTAAATAATTTTTATTTCAAAAATATTCACTTGATCCCTAGACACTTTTGATGTGTGTAGATAACATGTCTGGAATTTGACGAAATTTCTTAAATAAAACTGCGTTTACTGGTTTTCTAGTGTTCTGACGTGATCTAAGAGAAATATATCACGAGCACTGAATGTAACCAAGCCGTATCTAAATTGATCAGAGACGCCGTGTTTTTGAAAAAAAAAAAAATCATTTTACCATTCAGTATGCGTGTACACGTTCCAACTAATTATTTCATCCTATTAAGAAAGAATATGTGGAGTACATGAAACCAATCACTTTTTAATTTGACGACTCCTGTTATGGTGAAAATAAAATCAGTCATTCTATATAGATACATACTCGAGCCAAATGCATGAACGAATTGATTTTTTCGTGAATTCAAGAGGTCGCCGTAGTAAAAGATGTTTGGATTCATGTACTTTATAAGAAAATAAGTTGAGACCTATTATACAATTTCTACAAAATCGTTATGCACAATATGCCCTTCTTAAACCACTGACATGATCATCCTATCACACAGCGTCAGATGTATTGGTTAATATTTATGTTGTCTCTAACATTCACCTACTTTATTAAACAGTGTTGATTTCGTTGTACATACGTAACAAAGCAAATATTGAGACTTTTTTAATGCCGAAGAAGAATCGTAACCTCAATATAGCATATAGTAATTTTTAAGTTTATTGAATGACACGATGTTTGACCACCATGAAGTTAAATTATTTTTGTGAAATTACTCCACTAGTTTGTTATAATTATTAATACAAAGATCGAACATTTAGAAAAGAATCCTACGATCCGGCTGGATTCGAACCAACGTCTTCCAGCAAACCAAGCCAGACGCTATGCCAACCAAGCCACGGAAAGAACTAGTGGACCTTATGAATTTTTCTAAATGCTTATTGCAGATTTTTATTTTTGATTTTTACAACTTTTTTCCGTAGTGCATCTGAAGAAATAGATTTCTCACAGATGGCGTTACGACAAAAAAGTCGTTAAAAACAAAAAACAAAGATATCCAACAAGTACATAGAAAAATTGGTAAGGCTCGCTAGCTCGTTCCGTGGCTTATTTGGCATAGCATCTCGCACGGTTTGCGGGAACGCTTTGGTTCGAATCCAGGTGGATCGAAGGATTTTTTCTAAGTGTCGATGTTTGTATTAATAATTAATATTACAGTGCATTTTATAGGCCATCAACAGAAGTACCTATATATTCTATCGTAGTTCTTTAATTTTTTAACAATAAATAATATAAGGACAAGCCCGTCTGCCGCGGCTTTATTAGCCAATACACCTGAACATTAAAACGTAGTCAACGTTATATCTAAGAGATTTTTTTACAAACAGTGCAAGCTATGGAAGTGATAAGGATTACTACTGACTAGCTCACTGTAATTCCAATAAATTAGAAATAAATATATAATTATTTTTTATTCTTTGCTATTCTAAACATGACCTTTTGATGATATTTGCATTACGGAGCATTAAACGACTCTTACACAATTTAACAAGCGTGTACAAGCGCTACAGAGTACTGCAGGAAGAGTTTCCCGGGTCACTTTCAATCAAAACGTTTACCATCTATTGGAATCAAAGCAAGCCATCTGGCAAAGCCAGAGACAACACTAATAGTCATTTGGCAATTGGTACCCTGCTGTCGAGATTTGTACTTCAATTTAGACCTTGTTCAGTGTAACAACTATGTTAAAGTATGGGGCAGAATACAGCACCATGGGCTTGGCAGGTTGAACTATGACCACCAAAGCAATTGAACAAATTTGTTTACAAAATTATTAATACAAATTTCGATTCCAACCAACGTCTTCTAGTAAACCGTGTCAGATGCTATGCCAACTAAGCCACGAAACGAATTAGAAGGCATTACGAGTTTTTCTAAGTGCTTGTTGCAGATCTGTTTTTGGTTTTTTGGCGACTTTCTTGCCGTGGCCATCTGTGAGAAATCTATTTGTTCAAATTCATTTTTCATAATAAAAATGGACACCGGACAATGACACTAACTAGGGAATCTCGAACTTTACATCTAGTGTTTAGAGTGCTAATTGCACGGTCACGGTCGTCGAAAAAGCAACCACATTGCTGCGAAATGTTACGAGTGTCGATATAATTTGAAACTGTATGTACCAAAAGTTCTACGTCATATAATCTCGAGAACGCTGTTCTACATTTATATTCCGAATTTTCTGAAATTTTATAATAAGGAAAGGCGCATTGAGACGACTAGAGTTATGCAACGCGAGTACATATGACACACATGACACACATGAGTAGCGATCATAGTCTCCCCAAACCAAGCCCTCTGATAAAAAAAAACCACCAGAATAACAATTACCAAACTCGCACTTACGAGAAACAATTAATTATAGTACAATTTCTACTAGAAGATAGCAATTATTCCTAAAATATCATCTTTAAAAAAATACTATGACTTTGGATATAAGCGCTTACTATACATATGCTTTTAAAATATTAATACTGAATGCACAGATCGTGTTACAGATATATAGCAATTAACTACTTATAAATAAAGAATAGCTTGTCTTTTTTATTAAGATTAATGAGAAACCGCCAATGAATATGGCCTAAATGAGAATGTTTTATAATGTCATTGCACATATATTGTTTGACAATTTAATAGAGAAACATTCTCATTATGTTATCGACATACATACATTAGTGTTTCATTGGTAAGGTCATATTATGACATTCCTCTAAGCTCTAATATAAAATAAATAAAAAATATTTTGCGTTGGATTACATAAGAATAATACTGTTTTAGAGACTTTCGAAATGCTCTCTCTATTAATTTGTCAAACTCACTAACCCACTATTCGTGATAATAATACTTTTTCAAAAATATCGAAAGAATACATACCGATATGCAGTTTTACAATACATATTATTATTTATAACTATCATGTATTATTCCAAAAAACGTCGCAATATACACATTGATTTCTGAACACGTAAGCACAGAATCTAGATGTTTAATGCGACCTATTTTTCCTATATTAAGTATTTCTTATATTTTCCAACACTATCAAATCTCAAGCTATTTACTATTCAGTTGGTCAACAAAATATGTTAAACAATTTGTCTTTTTACGCATTTTTCATACTTCGTTTTACACTTACGTAGTACATTTTAGTACCGCTATGTAGAATAGCCCTTATGTATTAGACGTAAGTTGCACGTCATAAAACGAAAAACATTAAACAATTTTGTTCATCTAACTGAAAATTTTCCTAAGTAATCTATTCGCTTCGTGCGTAACAGGTGGCTATTCCTTCCCATACTACGCAGGTTCGTTATGGGATTTCAACAGGGCTTTTTGATTACAATCTAGACAGTAAAATCAACCGTGATCAACGAATGAGCGAGTTTACCTATGAGGTGCCTATTCTTTCTAGGCTATAAAATCACATAGATAATAAGATTTACTCTTTTGTACGTTCATCGGATACTTCTGTAGTATCGACAATGACTATAGGCGGTGGACCACTTTCATCACTACCGTCTAACTATTTGCCGGTTCAAATACCGACTCCGGCACATTTAGCAGGACAGTAGTAAAATCTCCAAAGCAGTGCAAGTTTTTTGTTTTTAGGTCTATTTTGATATTATACTTTTTTCCATTAATTTATACTATTTCCTATTAATACATATTAGTCGAGATGTTTGAGGTTGATTTTGCGATTTGTAAGTTTCGTAAAATTTACTTGAAAATATCTTTGGTTTAATCAATGTTAAATAATTACAATTTTTTATTTTTAACTTTGTTTTTTATATTTTTATACTAAGTCAATTAAAAAATGTAAATATGGTTGGTACTTTATGGCTAATTCTTATTTATTGATTTAAATTTTTTTTTATTAATAAAAAGTTGCAACAAGCGCCTTTATTAAACGCATTTCTTTTTCTCCGCTACGATTTCGTTGCTTCCATCCTGTAATACGCACGAAGCGAATATAAATAAATTTACACACAAATATTATTAAATTTTTGGAATATGCAATTTATCGTAAAGCTCGTGTAATGGCACGACTAAATTCAATGATTTTTTCGTTGGGTTTTAGAACATTCTAAAAAAAAGAATTAAGTAGAAAATGAAGTTAAAAAAAATGCAAAGATTCCTTATGTTATTTACTCACACATATTACATTATAGATGTTGTATAGATATATTACAAATGTAGATATTGATTGTAATATTGTCACAAATATACATATACCTACAAGCAGGTACTCCGAAGCAATATATGGTTATATTATAGATACATTTATTTTAACTTACTAATATTTTCGATTAAATCGGAAAAATATTCGAGTAACAAAAAAAAACAATACGTGTAATACACATAATAATACACACGAATCTCACTCAACCAAATAAAATTAACACATTTGAAAAAATATATTTGTTAAAAAATAAATTGAAATCACAGAATGGACGACCTAACGAATATGATTAAGTAATAATTATTACATTTATCAATCTTTGTGTTTGTTGACAAGTTAACAAAGAGTGTTATCTTTAAACTATAATAGGTGCGGAGCACATTCCTGTCAATTTCTCAACTGTTTTTGTTAACTGGTCAAGTTATACAATATCGTCATAGGGACAAATGAACGAGTATTTTACTGAGCATAGTAATTATTACTTACTCTTGATGAAGTGATTGAAATAAAGACGAACAACGAGTGAAGCTTCCAACGGGCTTAGTAGGTCGGAGCTGTATAATCGATGTTGGTGCCTAAAACAAAAAATAACTTTAAAGCTGTCTTTTTAAATATTACTCCAATATACGTAAATGCCATGGTTAACCTGTGAGGAACATTGCCTACTAAAGCAGAGACGAAATATTATTAGCAATGCGCTGCTTTATCCAGCGCCATTAAACTTTGTAGCTTGTTTATAGCAACACTGTGCATTATTTCTACCATTTGGTTTGAATGCGTAACGAAAACAACTTATAATATTAACTCCTACAAATGTTTCTTTTAATTTTCATTCTGAATCTATGTACACCGTCAGACACCACAGAAGATATCGAAATAGTATTAGGGGTTAAAGTATGAAATTGCCGTTTTATTGCAATAGGTTCTTTGAATTTTCATAGAATCTTCATGGTTTGAGGTTTTCGAATGAAACTTTTTTCAAATGGTTTCTGTGATTTTTTTTTTTTAAATTTGAAACATTTGAATATCGACTTTCAATTGTTTTTGTTATTCAATTTAGACAAGAAAGATGGATACTGCGAAAATTCGAGTGATTTTTGAATACGAGTTCCGACGCGGTACTAACGCGGCAGAAACAGCCCGCAATATCAATGCTGCGTTTGGAGAGGGGTCTACTAATGAACGCACCGTGCGATTTTGGTTTAAACGCTTTCGTGATGGAAATTTCGACTTAAAGAACGAGCCACGAGGAAGACCGCCCACACAGGTGAATAACGATGAATTAAGAGAGATAGTGGAAGCCGATCCAAGTCAAACTACCCAGGAATTAGCGGCAAGGTTTAACGTTACCTTACCCACAATATTGACTCACTTGCGTCAAATCAATAAAATAAAAAAATACGAAAAATGGGTGCCTCATGATTGGACTGATCTGCAGAAAGAAACGCGTGTTGAAACTTGTGTTGCCTTGTTGAACCGGTACAGAAATGAAGGAATATTGGATCGAATTGTAACATGTGATGAAAAGTGGATTCTTTATGATAACCGGAAAAGAAAAATGCAATGGCTGACCCCAGGTCAAATGCCACAACAGTGTCCTAAAGCAAAACTTACCAATAAAAAGGTAATGGTAACTGTTTGGTGGTCTCAGCATGGTGTTATTCACTATAGTTTTCTCCGATCTGGTCAAGCAATAACGGCAGATGTCTATTGTGCCGAACTCCGAACCATGTTGACAAAACTAGCAGTAAAACAGCCCCGACTCATGAATCGATCTTCACCATTATTGCTCCACGACAACGCGAGACCTCACACAGTACGAGAAACCATTTTGACCCTTCAGGAACTGCAGTTAGAAACCATTCGTCATCCTCCGTATTCGCCAGACCTTGCTCCAACGGACTACCATTTTTTTCGTGATTTGGACAATTATCTACGTGACAAGAAGTTTTCTTCCCAGGAGGCAGTACAAAATGCTTTCACACAGTTTGTGCAGTCTAGATCGTCGGAGTTCTATCGCAAAGGCATTAATAACCTTCCCATTAGATGGCAGCAATGTATAGATAATAATGGCAACTATTTTGATTAAATAAATTTGTTAAAAATTTAAAAAATAAACAATATAGATTTTCAGTACAAATCGGCAATTTCATACTTTAACCCCTATTATATATAACAACCGATAGGATTTAGTTCAATAGAGAGGTAGTGAAGACAAAGATTATTATTTTAACAACCGATAGGATTGAGTTCAATAGAGAGGTAGTGAAGACAAGGATCATTATTTTGAAATTATAGCCCGCAAATATCTTGCTCTAAAATTATAATAGAGGCCCAAGAGTCATGTCAGAAGAATATTGTGGCTTACCAGTCTGCGGCTGGCTGAAAGGGGGCTCGCTGTAGGCAGGCATTGGATCAGGCGCGCCAGGGTAGGTGGGGAATCCGCCCGGGCTGCCCACCTGGTTCTCGACTTCGTAAGCCGGAGCGAATGCCGCGTCCGCACCCATTCGGAACCGCTGGAACGCGAAGAACGCGCATGCCACCTGGAAGTTTGCATCGAAGGTTCAGATACGTGTTCTTTTATTACACTATTTTTATTAGTAGCTTTTTATGTTAATTTTGTACCTCATTTTAGTGGCTTTTACCTTGGCTTATACCTACAATGCCATGTCGATGTTACTTAGTTTAAGAATTAATTCTGCCAATTATAATTTATAACTAGAGACTCCGGGAAGACTGAGGAATCACTCCATTCGAATATATGTCCACCACCAACAGCTTGTCAATCCTTCACGCCCCGAGCAGCTATAACAACAACTGGGCTTATTCATGAACGTCATCAGGCACTCATGGATTTATCCACAACCACGTAAGTGTACAGTGGATTAAGACACCGGCTCACGTGGCAATGACGCAGTTAATGAACTGGCCAGGAAAGGGTCGGATACGGACTCAGGACTAGAGCTCTTAGTGGGACACTACCCCTACCAATGGTCAAAGAGGTTGAATAGGTCCATATCATAAATACCTTTTTAATTTAGGTATCACGGTACGGATAGCCCTCTATGCAGAGCGTGCACGGAGGGAGGAGGAAACAGCCGCGCGTATCCTACTACAATGCTCCGATTACAGGGCGAAATTCCATTAGTGCAGAAATCGCTTCCCGAAGTCTTCAACAGACCCAAGGGGATGCTGAGATTTCTGGATGAGCTTGGGTGGCTCCACACGCAAAATAGGCGTCTAGTCGTCGTGTTGTGGATACTAGTCCGTTATACAATATCATACCAACTAGAAACTAAATTTTGGCGGAAGAGTATATTTTTTCAGTACTTACCCAAGCGAAGATGGAAAAGAAGCAGAAAGCGATGGCTCCCTGCATGTTGTTCGCGGTGCCAGCGGGCGGGCTCTCGGTCTTGCCCCATGCGTTCGACAAGTAACAAAAGCCCACGAAGTATAGGAACGCCCACGCAGCTACAAAAAACAGTTTTTTTTATACATAATTATAAAAAACCAATCGAGAATGGAAAAACACGGTCAACGGGTAGACTGACAAACAATATTTCATGATGTCATTGAGAAAGCAATGGGTTAAATTGGCAAGTGATTAAAATTAATGGCATGTTAGTATAAGTGACTGTAGTCTATAATTTCTAAACAGCAAATAAAATTTTGAAACCTGAAAGAATAGAAACTACTAGCCTAAATAACACAACCAATCAGGTTTTATACACACGCTCTAATATGATTGTACGTTATTTAATACGTAATTGATTTGTGACTTGTATTATATACTATGATTCGTATGAAATAGTATTACAAAAGATTATTTCTCATTTGTATTTTCAGCTACAAAACACTACAGGTTATGGAGAAGATCAATTTTGTATTTTTGTAACTGCTTGTGACCTTATTTATAACTTACTACGTCTCAATACCCAAGAAAAGGAATATAAAATAGAAAATAAAATTATCAACACAACAGCACCATTTTGTTCGGTGAAAAAATAGTACCTACCAGAAAACCAGGATATCGCATAGAGTAACTTCCTAAATCTCTTTCAAGTCTTCAGCCCATTTCGGTTTTCTTGGTGGATTATAATGTGACCTAACGTCTGCTTTAATACCTTCTTCATAGACACCTAGCAATGGGACTTGTATGGGTTCACACAGTTATAGTACAGGCACAATGTTAATAAATCTAAATAACTGTTTCGTATGCATAATCATCCACCCGTACACGTTCTTAGAAACCAGTTGCACAATAAGTTTACGGTAGGCAGGTTGTGTATCTAATCGATTTCGTCGATAACGTGGCACATTGCTTCACACCCGAATAAAATTTACTACAAATAATATATGGGAGAATTGTGTGTATATGCAATAAAATAAAGCCGGGGACCTCGTGGGCAGCCAACCGAGAAAATTATAGGATGACTCAGTGACGATCCGATGTGATAGACAAGAAAAGTCCAATGCGGCATGAAATTGATGGCATTAGAGTTCTGTGGTAACAAGTTGAAGAAGAGAGAGCTCAAGATGGGCCAAACTTACATTCAGGGTTACGAAATGGGGTCTTATGCATGATCTGCTAATGAGTATTAGAATAAGATTATACATAATAATCGTTTGAACATAAAATACAGGCAGTAGGTACTAATTCGGACAAAGTGTATTTTCATCCGAAGGTGTATTGAATTGAAGGTGAATTGAAAGTGACCCATTGTGGAAATGATTCCTCGCTGACTTGGCGTTAAAGTGGCACTGGCAAACAAAGTTTGACCATTATAGCCAATTATCTTCACTTAAATGAACTATTTAGGCTGTTAAGGTTTAATATACAGCAATCTAGTTCAGAACACCTCACCTTTATGTCGTTGATGTACAACACCCATTCGCCAGAAGAGCTTTGCTTCCTCCTTCATAACACACACGGCAAAGGAGTGGAATGCTCTTCCTCTCTTTCCCGAAAATACCAATTTAGGGTCATTTAGGGCTATTCACGGTTACATTGAAAACGAATTTTATAAACAGACTCGTACCTACCATCGTCGATCAGACCATTGCTCAACATCATTTTTTTATATATGTATGTATATTTATACAATCCAAGTCTAATAAATTAGTTTTATTTAATCTGTAGGCACAGCGTACTTCAATAGAAAAGAAAGAATTCTATACAGAATAAATACTACCTACTTATTTGAAAGTATCGATCTCTGATCCTTCCTCTTTAATATTTTTAAGAAGAGCATAATTTGCTAAGAGTCGCACATAATTGAACACAAAATGCATATGAGTAGTTCACAATATACGACGTTATATTTTCTATTGTACTGGTACCTGCATTGCAAATTCTATCTTACGACTAAGGACATTGTGTTCAATGTAGCACCCCGGTAGTCGTCTATTACAGTTACCCGTTTCGGTCCCCGCTTTTAGGTCCCTTTAAACTCGACAATAGTTCTTAATATTTTGCAGACCGCATAATAAGGGTCAAATACAGGTCAAGTTCGTATTTCAAAATGGGTGATATAGGGAGTCACCACACTTGCCTGTATCGACTGGCATCGTCTTTCGGCGCCATCTTTTTCGCTTTTGGCGTGAACTAAAGGGTTTTTTTTGACCGGCTCAGGCCATTGCCTAAACATATTCACAGTCTCACTCTAGTCTTGAGATATGTATGTCAATAGAATGCCCTATCAGAACGTTTTTAAGGTCATCGTCAATCAAAGCCAATTTGTACTTTATTGGGATCACACCTTTCTTAAACCACAAATGTCAAAGGTTAAAATATATAGGCCGACCCGCGTCATGAAGTTTGAAAGGGGCCCAGATTAAAAACAATATTTATTCAACATAAAGCGTTAAGATTTTGATTTACTTTGTGCGAAGTTTATAATTGATTGTATACTTTAAGTTATTATGTTTAAGTAAGTTGAACTGAATGATTCCAATGGTTTTGTTTACTAAAGCGAAACTTTAGATTTGCGTAAGCAACTTTCAATTTCAAAACTACTGGGATCGTTTAATAATTTAGCAACAATGCTTTAAATCAGATCAAGTAACGTTTAGAAAAATGCATAGCACCGTCTACTTCAGCCTTTAAATCATCCATTTTCGAAAGAAGGTACCTCACATCTTCGTGCATACCTACACAAATTCTCAGCAACTGTAAATAATTTTTATGCTCTTTGCTTTTTTGCAATAGAACACTAGAACCAAATAAAGAGACAAACAAAATACAGGATTCAACAGGTGGCTTATTTCAAGAGTCACCTTGGAAGTGATTCCTTGATTAATTTCTTTATCTTAAGGGTGCTTGCAAATTAGACGCTTACAGAAGCGCTGCAGGGGCGCCACTATTAATTTTCATGCAATATTTAAAAGCGCAACTGCAGCCCACTGTCGCGCCACTTTTGCGGACTAGATGTTGTATGAAAATTGGTAGTGACGCGGCTGCAGCGCCACTGACGCGCCATTGCAGCGCTCTTATCTGCCTCTGTGGCCGAACGGTGACCATCCTGGACTGCCACGCAGAGGTTCGATTCCCAGGGCGGGAGAAATATTTATATGGCTTACATTTATTTCTCTCGTGACTTTGGGTGTAATTTGTGGTTGTTTATCTCACTCGCAACACAGGGTTTCCTCAGGTCTATGAGTGTGTGCGTGTGTTATTCTACAAGCGTCTAATTTTAAGGCGGCCCCAAATAACATTCATGTAATCTGAGGTTGCTTGCCGCATACTCTAAGCTTGCCGCCTATCATCTTTCAGGCGAAGAGCATACGACCAGACATGGCAATAACTGCATCGGGGTGCACGAACGGTGTCTCAATGCACGACGTGAATTCTTTCCCTTATGTCTGGCGCAACCTGGGCAACAATCAGCGAGTAATTGGCAAATCCTTTAAACACGATGGCTAGCACGTTCGTTCAGCACAAAAACCGGTTCTTTTCATGGATACGATAAGAAGAATAACTGCACCATAAGACACAACCAAAGGCCAGTGTTAAGGAACTAAACTAAGAGCTAAAATATCGTATTTGAAGGTTACGTCATATTTACCAGAGAATCCCATATCAGCCAGCACATAATGCTTCCGAGTCTTCACGCTGGACATCTGTTCAAACAGATATTCCCCCGCAATGAAGCCAATTGAGGCGAGGAACGCAATCACGGAGATGCCCACACCATAGTTGCAGGCATTGGTATCATCGTTGTATACACAGAGTTCTTTGCCATCTTTGGTATACCAGCCTTTGGCGGAGATGCAGCCCATTACAATCACACTGAATAACTGCACAGACATTAATTACATTTAGTATTTTAGGTTATTTACAATATCTTATATTTATCGTGGTATATATACCAATACCACATAAAATTTATCTAAACTAAATAAAGAATAAAGTGAGGCCAAATAAGAATGAAAAGTGTGAGAAGCTGGTTTGTAAGTCTATTTTAGATCTAAGAATTTATAATGAAAATTTCTCCTGTAATTAACATCCTTCTAATTTAAGTAAATACTTAATTATTGTACATGTTGTTACAGTAACATTATGATGTTACAATAATAATTTGCTTAAAGGTCAATACACATATCTGTAGCTAGCACCCCTGCATACTCATAGCAGGCAGGTGTAGCATAAAAGATGCATTTAACTTAACTCTGTTTATTTAACTATATTTGTAAATATACTTCCGGACACATAATTCGAGCCACCTCGCATTTTTGTCTTAAAATCTTAGAATACAAAAGTAGTCTTATCGTCGAAGACAAAGTTTTCCCCCGGTTTTGTAAATCCAAATTTCCAACATGGATTTATGGAAAAGGCGTTTAGTATACTAATTTCAAAATTGCTTTATAGTTTTTGATCAATCAAACATTGTTTAAGCGGAGGGCATTTAACACTGAAAATGCGAGGTGGCTCGAATTATGTGTCCGGGAGTGTATGTTTTTTAGTATGTACAGGGTCAAGAGCACGTCAAGCTTGACACTTAACACTTAAATCCAACTCTATGCCCCTTACGATAATAAGAATGGTCCAAACAACAGTGTCCAGCTTGACGTGCTCGTGACTATACCTATGATTTTACAAAAGTACATGTCAGAGGAAGATATGCCTGTGGATCGGTCACTTAAAATACAAAAAAAAAATACAAACACATTTATTTAACTGTCCAAAGCTCAAAAACTTGTAAGTAATTTTAGTAATTAGCGTGTGGGACAATATTTTTGTGTTTACCCTTACTTAGTTGTTACCTAACATTTTATATTCTTGTGTATTTTGTAACATTAAACAAGTTTTAATATTGCCAACTATTTAATTGTGTTAGTACAAATATAATGTGTTAAAGCAACCAAAAAAGAACTGGAAGTTGTAAACCCATAACAACATGTGTATTTAAAACAAAAAGAAGAGATACACTGTGATTATAGAGCTAGAACTTCCACATAAAAAAGTCAAGGATATTTGATATGTTACTAAAAAAACTATCAAATTCTGGAAGCCAACACATTGGTGGATTAGGGTAACACTCAAATTTAGCAACCTAAAGAGTAAAAGTGCTCACTATAGTCTCTTAATTGTACTAATTGTCCTAATTAACAAACTAGTTTTTAAGCTAAATCATTCTAAAAACAGGTCAAATTGTATGCTTATGTTGTAACAGAACATATACATATATATTTTCTATAAGTACCTATATATGAATTGCCATCTATGTGTTTGCAGTGAACACACAAGTTCAATAAAATCAAGGTCTTATCACATGATTCTTTGCACTTCAGTTTATACTGTAGGACATAATGCAATATCCCTTATTCTAGTGTACAAACGATACTGTACGTAGATTTAATTTAGATAATTTCGGTCTAATTGCATATTTTATTGAATTAAAATATCTACGTGTGGACAGAAAAAATGTGATGTTTTTGTAATACATATAGTTGTCGTGAGTGTACACAGGACGACAAACATAGATAGGCATACATGCGTAAAGCCTGGCCTTATTATTATGGAAAATATGTACCTCATTGATGAAATTTTTACCAGTGTTTCGTTCTTTTTCCCAACCCAAAAAATAATAAGGCCATAAATATCTTACAAAGTAAAAAATTAAATTAGATAATAAATAATATATAATCTCACCCAGCAAACAGCCCTGACTATTACAGGAGGCTTCTGTATGAATTGCTGAGGATCGAACACTCCGCCTGCTTTGCCGCCCCCATACGCACCTGTAGTTTCCATTTTCACTCTTTAACAAACTTCAACGACTAACAGCACCAGAACTCACCGCCCATTAATGGCTCAATAGAATACGTCCTCCCAAATCCGAATAGCAATTCGTATTATTGATCGCGCAGACGACGAAATTCACAAAATGACAGGCAACCAACCGACAGGGAAAACTGCATTTTGTTCTCTACGCCGCCATGTTAAAAATTGATTGGTCATACTTGCTTTTGATTGGTTACATGACAAATGCATTATAAAGTTCACCAATCAACGTTTCAACCTGAAGTTGTTGAGCACTGAAAGTAAATGAAAACAATAGTTTTTCCGACTAGAGCTGAGCTGTAACGAGCATTGTACAAAAGAAAGGTTCGTAGCACGGTTTTCCGATTTTTAAAATAAAATTAGTTTTTGATATTTTATTCTTTCCCGTAGTAACCAGTGCCAGCTGTGAGATACTCACTGCGAGGTTATACCTGCTTGCTTGTTCGGTTAGGCAGTTGTCACTAAATACAGTCTGACAATTTTAATTGGTATGGGAATGTGAACTTCCGTCCATTTGTCACTAATTACCTGTTGTTTTATATCAAATAGAACAGCGCTTTACGTGTGGCATTTTGTAGTCCCTGTAGAAGACTGTTTAAAGTTTTACAACAGGAAGCTATGCTCTAAGGAGCCGTAGGTATGATTTCAAAGTTTAGTAAGTAAGTAGGAAGTAGTATGAGTCCAAGGTTTTGGAATAGGAATGTGTATAAATTAGACACTACAGTCGATATTACAAATATATTTATTCAAAAACTGAACTAAGTATAAAATAAGTATTAAGCTGTTTACTAACATTTAATTAAGTGAACAATTATGTCATCAAAATTATTCAAATGTCCTTTTAGCCGCCACTCAGAAAATAATTTTGACTAGTTAAGATACAACAATGTTAGCCATATTACCAGCTATTTTTGTGTGTATTGCTGATTACAATAATAATTTTAACGATTAGTTGTCCGTTACTATAAAAAATGTAGCACCCTTCTTAGGTCTAAATAAGAGAAAATTTAAATGTGACGGCTCCATTAAAAATAATAACAATTACATCACGGTAGTTATACAAAATGTTTAAATATGAGTTTTTTTTATCAAAGAAGATTGTAGAAACAGTGATTTCTAACATATTTACATTACAAATTAAGCTACATCTTTATGTATACTGTACTACGTTTTAGTATGATATAATGTTACTATATGTATTTTATACAATATATATGGCATTAGTAAGTGGTGTTTTTCGTTACAATATATAATTATTAAACGGATAATTTAGTAGATAAACACAAATTATTTTTTAAACCATTAATAGTTTTGTAGGTATTGGCTTTTTTGTTACTGAGTTGATTTAAAGGTAAAAAGGTATATTCAGTAATGTTTTCATTCGCAAATAACAAGCAAGTTCTTAATTATCGATTAGAAAACAGAAAATACATTTTTTTTAAAATGGAGGTATTTATTCAAAGTTTAATTTTAAGCACATGATTGTGTTCTGTATGCTACCATAGGTCACCTTGCAAATGTAAACGGCACAACGGTCATCAAACATATTTATTTCATGAATATGGCCACAATAATCACGCTTATATTTTATTAAAATAATAGGAGATCGCAATTTTTGGTTGCTCAAGATTATCATAGTCTTTTAAAAGCAAAAAGGGTTTTTTAATTGTGATTTTTTATTAATGTATTCCTTTGCGTGCATTTGCACTACTTTGTCATTGACGATACTGATTTCTGATTGGAAAAAACTAAGACGTTGCCGGAATTACACGTCCGAATTTCGATAGGTAGGTTTAGAAGTCAGACTTTAATTAACTGGAGTAATCAACTTTATTCTTATAAATAACCTCACTGTCTTTTTTTTAAGACGGAGTAAAATTACATTAGTAGGGTTGCCAGATTTCACAAAATTTTAAATTTTAGATAGTTGTTGTCGATAGTTTTATCGATAGCCTGTGAAAGATATAATTTTGTCAGTAATGACTGAATTGTGAGTGTTACGACATTCTAATGATTACTAATTGCGTTATAGCCTTCTTTATTCTTATTTTGACAGTTGGCCTACTAGTACCGAGATCAATTTTTATTCATAATATAGATTTTAACAAAAATAGTCGGATTTGATTATATATATTGAATAAAAATTAAAAACTTTAAAATATGTCTCCTCTATACTATTTTTCAGGAACTTACAAAAATTGACAATTCAAATGAACTTGTGCTCAGTAATTGGATGAATAATGGGTCGAGGATGATTCTAATGAAAGAAGTTCGGCTATTTATTCTATAAGCGTGACCAATATTCAGACGATAGTCGATAGAATATTTATCGATTGCCATCACTAGCAGATTGCAAGCGGGCAACACCTTTGCGCAATGAACTGTCATTTTACTCCGTCTTCAAAAAAGACAGACCATAATTCACAATTCGCACTCTTGGTGTAATAATGCCACATCTGCAAAATGGCAACTTTTCAGGAGTGAGGTTTAAAGATTTTACGAACGAGATTAGTCTAGAAGCTTAAAAAATATAAGAGTCATACAATTTCACATTTAGCTACACATAATTTATTTCGTGTTATTTGTATTATTTTCAATGTGATAAAAGCACTTTTGACGTTTGATCACATATGGCTTTGTTAAACCAAGGGTACGAATTGTTGTTAACATAAAATATCTTTTAGTCATTTTTAATTAACAATTAGCACTTCTTTACACAACGGATTTGACATTAATATTGTTTGTAAGGTTGGAAACGGCTTTAGGTTTAAAACTGTAATGGTATTAAAGCGTACTCATATAATATTGCGAATGGGCGGGATTCATACTTGTTTTTTTTTTCATACATTATAATAAATGTGAACATACAAAGAACTATGAGGTCTATCGCTATTTATAATGATGTTTATTATACAGTTTCCTCCCTAGTTTCGACACTATATCACTAAAAACTACTTTTGTAAAAATTCTAACTACCCATCGCTACTCGAGTACTCTACAATTTTATTGTACATGAAAAACTACCTACTGGATTATATTTTTCTTTAGAACATAATTTAAATTAAACAATATTTACAAAAATAGCCATTTTCATCTGTATTTGGATGAGACTATGTCTAGTTTTAAATGTACTCCGACGAGAACCGAAAACACAATTATAAATATGACAACAAGGAACGAAATTAGTAGTAGTAGTATTAGTACTTCTTGTTTGCTCATATGTGTCTATACACAGGTAAAACCATATGGTGGAACATTAAATGGTATTGTAGTGTTTCATGGCGTTAATTAATGAACACCATATATAAGTGTACCCGCGGACTGACACATCTTAAAATGTTTACACACATAGCACATTAACTTCTTCAAATTTGTAGTCACAATCATAAATATCTTTGTAGCCATTTTAATAGGTATCTATCTAATATGTCATATAATGTGTAGATACCTAAGATATTTATGCTCGTAATATACTAGTACCAATTGGTACAAAATGCTAACATAGGTACATACAGTACTTGTACTACAATGTAGAAAATTTGCCGTCTTTGTCATGTACCTGAGAATAGATACGAGTACATTTTTCTTTTGCAAAACAAATTATACATAAACCTTTGATAGCTAACAAAATCCATGTTAAACAAAATTGCAGTCAACATGTATTGAAATTACTTTTAATAAAATATACTTAAAAATTGAACAGCTGCCTTACATAATTACACTTTGTCGTCAGTAGAATAAAACTCATAAGACGTGATTGCTAAAAGTAATAAGTGTCAAAGTAATAGGTACAAAAAGTACATATTAAAACGCAATTTGTTCTATACTATTCAATAATTATTACTTGGACCAGAAAAATGCCGATGAAAATGACAGTTCTCTTTGGAATTTATTGTTGACACTCACATATTATTCAAGGAGGCATAGTATATTGTTCCGCCTATATTTTAGGAGTCTGTCAATCCTTGGCGCTTCTCTTCTTCGAGCATGGCGTCTAGTTCATCTGTAAGGTTCGCGAGCATATTTCCTATGTCATTGAGTACATCAACTGGTTCCGTACTCTTCCCTTCATCTTTATGTTCTGTCAACAAGTGTGGGTTGGTTGGTTTTATATCAGATGTCCTTGGTGGAAGATTAGAGAGGCTTATACCGCTTCGGCCGTAATCCACTGTGTGCGGTCGTCCACCTATTTGACTTCTGTTTTGTTTTATTGTACCGGCGTTTTCATTTGCGAACGGGATGCTGTCGGATTCGGTGCTTGAACTCGACTGTAATAAGATTAAAAAAAAAATATATATATATATATGTATATAAACGAGTTTTAAGAACGTCGATAGTTCAATTATCTTGCACCTTTTTTTCGTATCTATAAGATCATTGATAACGTAATTTCAAATCGTAAAAACGATATACTTAGTGTAGACTGTTCAAAACTTTTGCTTTGAATTATTATCAATAGTAAAACTTACTTCGGAAACTTAATTTGCATTTGAAGCATATGGTGTAAAAAAAATAATTGGATATATACCTTAAAACTAGCGTCTGAACCACTCCTTAGTTTATCTTCGTCGTATCTCCTTGGGGGGGAAGACGGCGCGGGCGGAGGCGGAAGCAGCCCTGTACTGTCCAGAGACACACTCAACGAGTCTGAGCTTGGGTAAGCAGGGAGGCTCAAAGGAAGACTTTTCTCGGGATGTATTTCCACAGTTGTCTGTCCGAATCGAGAAAACGGGGCGTATTGAGAGCTTTGTCGTTTCGGGGGCTCGGGCGGCGGCTTTCTTGCCACATGCGGGCTCGCTCCATAGGCCACACGTTGTAATCTAGCTGAGTACGCGATCTCATCGTAAGTATAGTCGGGAGACTTGTCCCTATATGCTGGTGTAGCCTGTATTTTAGCTACCGGTCTGGGGCGGACTAGTCCTCTGGGACGTGGGAGTGTTCCGCCTCCTTCATAAGAGCTATCATTTGTGGGCGTGATGTCTCCGTCGTCATAGGAACGCCGCCATTGCCCACCGCCGTAGTAGAACCCTGCTTCAGGCGAGAATGTTGTGTGCGATGTCCTCTCTGAAGGGTCTTCTAGGCTTTCTAGAGACTTGCCGCGTGGATGACGGATCTGTTAACAGTTTAACAAGTAGATGTATAAAATTGTTGAATTCAATGTTCCATTATTAAGTCGTGACGTAATAAGAACAGATTTATTTTTACGTAAATAATTACACTGTCAAAATACAATAACAAACAATTGGAATTATCTTTAGTAAGTAGTAACACAGTTAGATTTTTATCATGCTTTAAGATTTTAATCAATTACCGCGAATAAAATATTAAAATAAATATTCGTTATTTTGAACTTAATACATGCATTCGCAATTAGTGTATCGCACTTATATTATAAAAAAAATACGCTTATAACTTACTTATTAAAAAAAAATATATTTAATAAGCTACCATGCAGGCTTCTTTATTTAAAGCTTAATAATACGTAAATACAGATTTAAAAATTGGTAAAAAAAACAAACGGTAGTAAAAAATTAAATCACACGTACATCGAAAACGTGGTAACATCAAAAACATTCAACAAACGGGTGCTAGTTAAAAGCTTTGGTGCTCGGTGCATGGAGGTCACAGTGCCAAAGGAGACGGTCATACCTGAATGGGGACCAAATCAGTGCCACAAAGGGGCGATTGTAGGGCGTCAAAGTTTAGATCTGGGGGCTTATGGTAACTCCTTGTGTGTCTCTCCCATGGCTGGTAATGATGCTCCCTCGGATATAAATCCTTTAGCCGATTATGTCCAAGGTGCGATTTGTGTTTGGAAAAAAGAAAAGAAAAACATTCACATGCTGCTTGGGCTGTGGTATGGTGGATGCAGCGGATGGTGTGGAAACTGGCGGGGAAGGCTTTGCGAGTCACTTTTTTATGATAACAATTACCTAGATTCAAATTAGATACTTCCGTGTACTGTGAGTACTAAAACGAGAGCATTTCAAAACACCCAGAGCCAATTCAGATTCCCGTATCGTTACCGGGAATCGAACATGGAGGTGTAATGGTCTCGAGTTAAGTTTTTATAGTAAATACCTACTTTAATTTGTACTGTTTGATGGCAATTAGAAAAATTTACGTAGATTTAATGAAACTAACTGAGTAATCTCACAAGGATATTTTTTACGTATTTATTTAGTTTCATTTCAAAATATCATTAAGCCCCCAGCGCCCATTGGACGGGACGCATGGCAAAGGATCCTGCGGCAAGCCTATATGCAAGCACACACTGACGGCATAATTGCCGTGATATCCACAGGTAACATTTATTACCGTCGCGACATCGTGCTCGCGCCATCTATTCCAATTGTGACGATGCTGACCTCCGTCATTCCTGGCCACTTAAAATTTTGAATCGTTCTCGAATTTCCTTTTAAAGAAGAAGTGGAAGGCCACTATTCTTACGTTGATTCGTACCGCCATCAAAATTCTCAAAACGAGATGACGTGCCCATAAATCACCTCATTTACTGTTTTCAAATCATATACATATAGATATGGACAGTGGCGGATTTGCTGTCTTGACCTCCATCTGACCATAAAATGTACGAAAGTGATTTAAGAAGATTATTGTTAATACGATGCGGGGCAGTGCGGCCCGCCATAATGTGCGTGAGCCTTTAGATTATTTAGGTACTTTGAGTTGATTTAGGTACTTTATTTCTTGTCATCATCAGTGAATTTTTTGTCACGATTGGCTGCCCCCTAAAATCTGGCAGCCTTAGGCCCGGGCCTAAGGGCCTAAGAGTAAATCCGCTGCTGGATATAGATACGTAGGTATAGGGCCTTTTGAAGTGAGTTTTGTCTGGATTGTTTAGTAGGGAGTGTTTTGTACTAATTGTACTTTTTTAATATAATTTTATTTGTTTTATCGTTACTGCCATTTCGTTTCTACTTTTAAATAAATGATCTCTTCCACACGCAAAATAGGCGCCTTGTCGTCGAGTTGCGGACACCAGCCCGTTACACCAAGTACCAAGTACCAAATGATCTCTTTTTTCACTAAGGCCGGGTAGAAGATTAGTCGTAACGGTAAACGTGAAAAAGCTTGCTGAAGCATCCCGAAGGCTACCGAGGCATTCTCCGAGGCTGTCGGCTCAGTATCCCTGAACTTACAGAAGCTTTGTTTTCGTAGCTACGACCATTGCAATTTCAACTGTAATATTATAATATTAAGGTTATTCCTATTCGTGACCTAAAAATGCCTTGCCGTGCCGTCCCATCAGTGAACGCCGGGCCTAATTCTCCGTTTACATTTTCATTTAAATGCCGCAATCGGCTTGACTTGATTTTCGCCTATAGGTTTTTATATAAAAAGCACAAGTTTTTATTGCCATTAAAGCATACTTTGGAAATAAATATCAATATTTATGTTAACATTTATAATGCTTCCTACATACTTTAACTCGCATAGCCGGTAATGCCCAACCAGAAACGACTATGGCAATAGACATAGACCTAAAGTCTAAGCGATGACTTGGATACATCGGGAAGTACACAATTTTGGAGGGTTAACTTATTCAAACCAATTGTGTCCAACACAGGACATTTTTCCCATGTGTCCATTCTCTTATTAGCAAAGTAAATGCAGCCTTTGTGCTAGAAAACACATGGAACTAACAATAAAAGCCATCTGGGCTCAGCAAAATAAGTTTGTCTCGGTTAAATAATATTAAGCTGGACGCTTTTTGTTAAAAGAAGCGTAATCGTTAGTTAAATAAATACCAAGAGTCAGGAGTTATTATATAACCAATTCTTCAAATTGCATCAATTCTTGTTAGAAAATTCAAAATCACATACAATTTTATATAAATATTCCTTATTCGAATTGCCAATGTACGAAATGACAATGATTATGATGGATGATAATAACAAAAAACAAATATCATTGATTTGAAGTGATGCTTTGTAAAAACCATTTACAAAAATTTTGACATAGAGAAACACTAGTTTTGCCCTCTATTTAATATAAGTTGATTATGAAAGCGGACTGTCGATTAGAAAATTAATTAATAATTTAAATTAAATTTCAGTTAGGTCGTTAAACTTTTCAACACTGTCATAGATATTTTTATTTTAGACTTAGGTATCGGGGAATCGTAAAATATGTCCGCTATCATAAAGAAAGTCTATCAGTAAAACTAGTCCTAAAACATCACTACAAACACAATAAAAGTCAACATGCTAGTGTATGGTACTGACCTGGCCTGGTTGTAACCTGGTGAAGTCAAGGGAACCCTGGGTGCTAATGCTTCGTTTCCCTGCTCTGATGTCTTTCACTCTTTTGATGGCGAGGAGGATTTTTTTCTGATGCCCCAATCGGACAATACCCATGTCTTCCAAATCCTGAAACGTAACAAAATGACTAATTTTATAAAAATCCACAGACCGTAAAAATCTATATCAATTTATGCACGTACAAAAAAAATTGAAGGGCATTGGTTTCTTTCGAATTCCAATAGGGGTTGGGAACTATTGGGGACTATAACAAATTCCCGAAGAATTATGAACTTCTAATAGTCTTCTTTACGATTTACTTCTTTACTATGAAATTACTATTTCGGTTTTGAAGTTTAAGGGTGCTGGTGAAATTACAGGCACGTGGGACTTGTTAACCTATGTCTCAGGGTGACGGGCGCAGTGACAGTGTCACACAATTCTTTGCGATTTAAAGCTCTGAGTGGCACTGCAACTGTTATGGATAGGCGTGTAGCTTACCATCAGGCGCACGACTAATTCGACCCGTCACTTGATATTGTTAAAAAAAATTGAAGCAAAGAGTAGTTTATAATAGTTTTCAGGAAGTTTTATAACAGGAACTGTTCTATTGAGCCATCTGAACATACCTCCCAAGCTAGTTGAGTGACGTCATGAACAGTGCGGTACCCTTGGGCCACCAGTGCTGGCCCGTATTCCTCCAGTCGAAGCAGACGCAGCCACTCTTCTAAAGAACCCTGAAATTGAGAGACATTGGATATTAACTTTTAGGCTAAAAGTGCATGGAATGTACAAAAGGTGCATGATACAACCATGGAGCTAGTGATGACCTAGTGAATTGAAGACCTGCTGAGTCTGCTTACTCTATTGAGAAATATCTCTAAATTAACTGCCTCCGTGGCCGAACGGTTACCATGACTGCCACACAGAGGTCCCAGGTTCGATTCCCGGGCCGGGAGAAATATTTGTATTGCTTACATTTATTTCTCTCGTGAGTTTGGGTGTAATTTGTGATTGTCTATGTGTGTGCCCATGGCATCCGCGACACAGGGTTTATTGAGTGTGCAAAATGTCGTGCAAATGTGTATTTATTTAGACTTTACCATTTCCAACAACATGACAAAATAAATGTACACGTAGATAAGTTGTCTAGGATAATCACTGACGTATCGATCATTATTGCGGAGGGTTTAAATAAGACAGATGCTACATCTTTATTTCCAGTTCAGGACAATTAGCAGTTGGCCGAAAGGCCTTGTCTGCGCCACCGCATAGAAGGGCGAGCTAAAGATTTTAAACACGTCTTATATATTGAGTAGCTGACCTCAATGTGCCCAGGTGGACACAAACCTCGACGTAGACTCTACACTTTCGACGGAAAGGCGTGCTATAGGAGAAAAGAAGAAAATTTCACACACTTACCGGGATATAATCCGGCAAATTATCCGGTACATTTAAATTGGCAAGCTCGGCCTTTAATCTCTTGCGATGATTAGGCTTTTTAATTCCAACGGCAGTTAAGTCCTCCGGAGTCATTCTGGTGACAGTGGGAAGATCATACCCCGCCTCTATGAACAATCTCGCGTACTCCTCCATTTGAAGATCTGCCAGCCAGGCATGAATTATGTCTGGATCCTAAAGAAAAAAATCGTTTTTAGAACAGCTGATACGAATTAAATGAAGAATGATAATCTAGTTTCAGTTGGATAATAATGATAGATAGTAGTGCTCAGCAGTGGCGAAGGGTTCACATAAAATAATACCCACCAGCTTACCTGCTGCTAAAATCAACGACATATTTATATTATTTATAAAACGCCTAAAAATATTTAATAACTCCGGAAATTTTAGTTAGTCTTTTTTTATTTTAAATCTCATACAAAATACTACACACTTAGCACGTATTTTTTAAGTACCCATCATTTTCACTCCAATGGAGAAACCTATATGCCGCTCCGTTTTCGCGTGCCCAAAAAACATTGCAAGTCGTTGTTGGTGATGTTACTCGACGTTATTTTCCAAATTGAAAGTTCACGACGTTTAAGTTAGTGATGCTAAGAAAGTAACTTTGAAATAGTAGGTGGTTTATTTTGAAATTGGCGGTTATATAGTTAAAATGTTTACATATATATATTTTGCTATAATAACCTTTTGTAAATGTATAATAAAATAACCCACACAATATTTAGCGGAACAAAAAGGTGAGAACATAAAACGTTTATATTACAGCAATTAAAGTAACATTTTACATTTAAAAAAGAATCAAAATTAAACAGAATGCCTTTTTCTCAAAATTTTGTGACAAAGCTTCTGCTTTGCAGTTGAATATTTACACATTGTACTAGTTTAACATTCAAATGAAATTGAATCAAACTTTAATAAATTAAAAAGACAAAACCAATCTCGAAGCACTCGAGAGTTTAACTTAGTTTGTAACTACTCGTAGGTTTGACAAGACCTGTTTATATTGGTAATGTGCATAGCGTCGTGTGGTCTTTCGTACTATCGATTGCAAAATTGTTTAAATACACTTCTAACAAATAAAAACATGTTATCCCTAACATTCTATGAATATAATAATTTCAGTACAGAGTACTAAAAAAACCGACCTCAAAAGTTCGTGGAATTACATCTATTTGCCAAGTTTTACTAAAATCGGTTGCCAGAAAGTGCGCGTAACCGGATTCATCCCCTAGTTTGCCAGTCTTAGAGGTAAAAAATTTTGTTCAAACTTAAATGGGACGAATACTGAGGTAGGTACCCTCTTTCCAACAAAAAAATAATCATCGAAATCGGTTCACAAATGGAGTTATCGCGTAACATACTTAAAAAAAATTCAGTCGAATTGAGAACCTCCTCCTTTTCTGGAAGTCGGTTAGTAAAAATTAATCTCTTCTTAATCTTAATCGACAAATAGTAGTTAGCCTACATATAGTCTCACTGCTGAGCACTGGGCCTCGTCTCACAATGAAAGGATTTAAGTTGTAGTTCAAACGAGTGGGCCCAGTACGGATGCAAATTCACGCACATCATTAAATTGGTTTGCAGATGTATGCGGGTTTTATCACGATGATTTCCTTCACTGAAAAGGTAACGGTAAATTTCAAATTAAATTCGCACATAAATTCCGAAAAACTCAGAGGTGCAAGCTCAGAGGTGCAAGCCCGAAGTTCGGATTTTTCGGATTCGGATTTTTTCGGAACCGACTACTCTCTGCTAGAGAGGTGGTGGGGCTAAACCATTGCTTGTATATTTTATGATATTTTTTTAGTACTTTGTACTGAGATTATGATATTTTATTTAGATGTGGCAGAGATTAATGCGGACGCAACTGTTCAAAATTTTCTTTTTCCTCTGGAAAGACTTACATCTACAAACCACTGTCTAGTAAATATAGTTACTACTATCATAATGTGAAACAAATTCGTATTAAAAACTAGGTTCCTTCGCGTTTGGATACCACTTTCCACTTAACATCAGGTGGAGTGGAGTCATTTGCCTGTCAAGTATAAAAAAAAAAAAAAAAAAAAAACTACATCACTCGAGGACACTTACAGGTAGTCCCTGTGCGATCATAGCACGGACTCTATCCACGGTATCTCCACAATGGCAGGCAGCATGATGGTGATGGGGCATACGGCCCGATGCTCGCCCACTATCCAACGATGCTGACGAGTGCCTCGACCCGGAGCCTGCTGAACCTGACGATGAGCCTGGACTGTCCCGACCGGGACTCTGGAAAAAGTTAACAATGTTTGTAAGACATGAATGTACGTCGTATTGTTGACAAAAAAAACTAAATGGTATTTTAGAAATTAACTCCAAGTGAAACCTAATAATAATAATAATAACGCACACACTCATAGCCCCGCGCTAGGGAAACCCTGTATCCCGGGTGCCATGGACACACCCATAGACAACCACAAATTACACCCAAACTCACGAGAGAAATAAATGTAGGCCACACACATATTTCTCCCGGCCGGCCCGGAAATCGAATCAGGGGGCCTACCACAACCTCTTAAAACAATATTACTTTAACCTTACATTGACTTTTCGTACCATAACGCGCTTAAAGTAAGCTTATTGTAATGTTAGAACTATGATGTTTTACTGGCAGCGTCACAAAGCTGCAAATTCATTTACTTAGTGCGTACTATGACACGACTTTAACAATAAAGTAATATTGCTCTTATGTCAAGTTTAGCAATCTTAGGGTCGTATTCCAGAACTCTACTCAATACTCAAGTCAGGGCGTGAGTATTGAGTAGAGTTTATAATTGAAAACAATGTAATTTTAATAAATTTTATTATTAGATACTTTTCTTTTTTAAACTGTCAAAATTTTCTGTAATATTAAGTACTTAAACATTATACTACGATAAGACGATTTGGAACATCATAAAAGAAAGAGATGGCATTATACAGTTTTGCGTTACCGTGGTATTTTTAGTAAGGAATTAACAAAATTGGGAAATCATTCGTTCGTTCAATCAATTTTGCAATATATTACTTGGTTGATAGGTTCGTCATGACACGAATATGAGTAATATTATAATAAGCTTACTTTAAGCTTACATTGATATAAGATTGTTTTTGGAAAGTTATGGTAGACCCCCAGGACCTCTGCGTGGCAGTCCAGCATGGTAACCGTTCGGCCAAAGAGGCAATTAGATAGATAGATAAAGATGTTTAAAAACTTTACTTTACCTGGGTCATATCAATGCCCTGATCGTCACTAAGCGCGAGCTGGTGATGATAGTACACAGCGGCTTTGTGCGTGAGCGGCTGCGCAGGCGGCGGGAATGTAAATGTCCCCCCTCCTGCAGGACTCTTGCCAAGACTACCACTGGCGCCGCTGACGCCTGAAACTCCTGACACCGTGCTGCCGTAGTCTGAGTGGTCATCTAGAATAAATACACTTAAAATTAAAAAGTAAGTAAGGGTATTACTATATTGTGATTGTGTGCTAAGCAGCTGCTGACACTCATGAATATCATGTGCTAATATAGATTTATGGTTTATGATATTTATTTCTCCAAATAAAAATATGTATCATAAATTTTCTATAGAGAGTACGTGTTGAGAAAATATTCAAATGAAGGTATAGAAATAAAATTTGGTGTTCTAGTATAATAAGAAAAAATAAAAACAAGGCCCATCGAGCATATAACCAGAAATAGAGACAAAATAAGGGCCATATATTCCTGGTAACACATTAGCGATACAGCTCTTGTAAATATCAACTCCCGTTTGCACTGAAATATAGACAGACCAACTACTGACCTGTGTGTACGTCTCCGTATATTCCAAAAAATATTCTGTATTTATTGTAATAAAGATAACATCTCTAACAATGCCGTGCTGTTCTATTCGGTGGTGTGGGAAAAACAGCAAAACATCTAATTACAAAACAAACGGAATCACATTTCATCGGTAAATAAATATTAAATATGTAATTTTGCAATTTTCTTCCATTATAGCAAAGCTCAAGTTATCTGGTCGAATTGAAGTGAAACAGTTGACGACACCCATTGACGAAACCCGTCAATTGTTTCGAACTCGAGCTAGCCAATCGGAGCGCAGTTGTCACAATAATGATATGGCAGAATAGTTTTCAAACAAATTAAATGACATTTCCTCTCTATTTCTGGTTATATACTCGATGACAAGGCCCCAATCAAGTATTGCTTATAGATAGCCATGGTTACACTTTCATATCAATATTATAAATATTGAAACAAAACCATAAAAACTGAGAAATTCCTCATAATGTTGAATTTTATTTATTTTTTAATAATTGGTACGACTATATTTCATTAATATTACGGTAATTTGTTCTATATTTGAGCTCCATCATACATAATGTTTTTGATAACATTCCTTTAGAGTATATAATGTTTCTGTTCGTTGGCAGAAGACAATGTTTTGAAATTATCATAGTTTTTCTAAAAATTTCATAAAAAAATTTATTATGATTATTAATAAAACTAGTGGAGTTCTTTCACAAAAAAATTCAATAAAACAAAAAGCTATAGTTTTTCAATGTGATAAACATCCCATCCATACCTACTTTGAACAACAAGCATTTTGCTTACCACGAGTATGAGACGGCGTATCAGGCGGTTGAGGATATGGCTGCTCCTCACAGGATGCATAGCCTTGTGATCCGAAGCTGGAGCCGGAGTGGCGGTGCTGCGGAGTACCGAAGGCGTCTCCAGGCACGGCTGGTGGTGGGACACGCTTCGCGGTGGCTGTCTTGCCGGCGCCGCTGCCGCCGCGAGACATTCCGCCCACTGAAAAAACCGTTAATAAAATTACAATTTGAACAGCGAACAAATATCTACTTCTGAGTAGTGTTGCAACGATTGATATATTCGGCCTCAACAACGTGGCCAAATAGTCGAATATTCGGCCAGGTTAAGGCACATTTAATTATGTTAAATAATAGAAAAATTCGTGAGGTGCGCTGGTTCGTTCCGTGGCTTAGTCGGCATAGTGTCTGACACGGTTTGCTAGAAGACGTCGGTTCGAATGCGGCCGGATCGAAGCAATTTTTTCTATGTGAACGATTTTTGTATTAATAATTATAACAAACTAGTGGAGTAATTTCACATAAAAAATAATTGAATATCAATTCAATAAAAAATAGTAAATTTTGTACAGAGAAAACAATGTACTTTAATTTAATTGCTTATTTCATTTTATTGCTTAATTCAGTTTGGTGAATTTTCAATAACTTAACGTTACTTTGCTTTGCAAATAATGAGTACTTGGCTGATTTTACGAGCGTTTATTTAGTAATGAGAAAACTACGTAATAAGTAGGTAGTTTTCATTTCATTATGTTACCTTTTTGATCTCTTAGAAAAGTGTATTTTTTTAGTTATATTACATTTCCTTTGGTCTCGAAAAAATGAAGAAGCGAAGAATTCGGCATCATAAAAGTTACATGATATTTATGTGTTTTTTTTATTCATTTTTCCCCATATTTATAGGTATTCGGTATTCAGCCAAATAGTAAGAAACAGGCCGTATAGCCGAATATCGAATAGTAAACAAATAGTTGTTGCACTCTACTTCTGAATGATTTCTTTATTTAAATGAAAATAAGGCTGATTCGAGGCAGCTGTCCACATGTAAACGAGCCTCAAGAGATTGGTACCGGTAACAAAATAATGTCTTTAATTGCCGAAACTGATTGACATATAATGTTGATAATTAAATAATTATTTCATCATAACAGTGCTCCTTAATAAATGGAATTAAGTGTTTATAAGTAATTTAATATCGCTATCATTATTAATCCCGTTAGTGTTATCTCGATTGGGCATAGCGTCCCGAGCAAACTCGATGAGTGACCTACCAGTCTTTCATCACTTTTATCCCCTCCTGAGATACCCGATAAGCCGTGGGGAGGGGGCAATATCGGTAATAAGGTAAAAACACCATCAATCATGTTCGATACCTCGGCGAGATTGGGTCGAGCAACTAATTGCTTGTGCCAAATCGATAACGCTAACAAATGAACGGAAAAAATTTACATAAAATTAATTGCGATGCAAACTCCCAGATAAAAGAATGTCCTGAAGGATTTTGTTGCGAAGTCTTCAGAATAAACAATTTGCAAGAATGGCTGCTGTTGAAAACTCTCGTAAGCTGTTCAAAGAGACACTAAAGTTTCTCGGTACAATACCGTTTGTTTGGTAATAAAAATAAGATCTTTTCACCGATTAAAACTTCACTTAATATGTGAAAATAATGTTTTGTTTATATAAAAAAATATATATTTTTATATCGCTCTTCGGCTTTCTTAAGGAATGAAATTTACAACTTCAATTATTTGCACGCATCATATCGTGAATACTAATAATGTAATAAATATGTAAATTCCAATAATAAATTTCAACAAGTAAATTTTAAATAAGAAAAGATTTTTGCCAATAAATGTGTAGTTACATTATTTTATTATACCTTATTCTGCACATTGATTTAAAAGATCAACTTCTTGGAGCATAAAGAGTCTAGAGGATATAATTTTATTGATACAAGTGGCTCTTAAAACCAGAAAGATGTCTCAGGATGTTAAGTTTCACATATCTTGAGCCCATAATCTTGGCAAACACCGCCACCTACTTTCGTTTATCGTTGCCTTAAAGCGGTTCATTAGCTCCCTGAGGATTATTTGGCCACCTCTTCACTTTGATGGATCCTGCGACACAGGCTTAACTCGAATTTTATGAGGGCGACACGAGAGCTACGCTGTTTTGGAGAATTTATGGTACATTTTCCTAAAAACAAGACGGGTTGAGTCTTGAAAAAAGGTCGTCAGTTCTATCGTATAAAGGACTTACGATGTTTCAGTTGACATGGTATATATATATATATAATTGCTATCAATTTTATCAATTTAATGACTTTGTCTCATTTCTAACTCTTTAACTAAGATCTCTACGTTCATATCTTAGTATTTATCTAGATTACTGCCGTGGAAATCCAGCTCTTGACACCAGCCCAGCGTTTACTATAATAACACCAATAAAGAGCAGAACGGTAGCGTGTTTCGTTCGTAATAAATACATGCCTATCAGCTAATTATCGACGATTAGCTTGCTATTACCAACGCCATACAACGTTATGATCACTGTCGGAGTACTAGATATCTTAGATACTGAGCTTTACCGCTATGTAATCAAGGTTGATGGTAAACGAGAGGTCTCAGCCTTTGTAGAATAGAATTAACGCCATCTAGCGATCGGCGAAGGGAATCAATTAGGCATATCGACGGGATCTTGCGCGTGGGTTACCTATAATCTAATGACATTCTATAAGCTGCCCGCCCTTATTAATTCAATTATATGGCGCCAAGTTTATATGCATAGTTGTATACGTAAACTTAGTTCAGGCTGGGTAATTATCAAGTCAATATTGAAGACTTTATTGCACTTCGCGTTGTGTAAGACAACGGTTTCGAGCTTGTTTTGTCTTTGCCGCCGTAACCGGGGAGATAGAGACTCTACATCGTTGAAGTAAGGTCCAAACGTAGTCGTTTATTTAAGGTCACTGTCGGCGTGTATATCAAATAAAGTCCCTCTTGAAATGACAAAGGTAGGACATAGGTATATTTACCGACATGCCAATAACAGAGTATAATAATGGGATTTCTGTTTTATTACAGCAATAAACGCTTTAGCGTGGACCATTATGAAGTCAGTATGATTCACTCTGCCACCCGGTCGCACGCATTGTCATTATTTAAATTGAATTACTGCTAAACATTTGCGAAAATAATTAAGTAGAATTATAATAAACTGCCATACTTAGAAAGTTACGCAAGTATAAGTTACGATTACGTAGGTTGACATTGTGAATTTAACAAAACGTCTCTATTGATTATTAATTTAAATCGGTTTTTTTCACATTTTCATTGTTATAGGTCACTACTAAGTACTGTAGTTTATTTTATTATATTACGCATGAACTGAAGGCGTAATTAAAAACATTTTTTTTATAATACTAAGTGACAGAACGAACAAGTCGTGTGGCTGGTGATAAGCGACACCCCTGTCCCTAACCGTTGCAGTGCCACTCGGAGCTTTAACCACAAAGATCCCGACACCTTGAGACTTAAGTTGAGAAGTCCTATGTGCCTGTGATTTCACCAGCACCCTTACCCTCCGAAACCGGAACGCAGTTATATTCACATTACTGCTTGGCGGCAGAAATAGGTAAGGCGGCAATACTACTCCGGACAAACTCTTTGACAGGAGCTCTGCTGCTATTACTATTTATAATTATAAATCGTATTTATAATATTTTAATATCTGTCTGTTTTCTTGTTCTTTTAAGTTTACTGTGTTCTTGAATTGGTGTCATATATCTTGTACTTGTATATTATAAGCAGCAAATGCAAGTCTAAGGCGCAATTTATATTGCTGCGATGGAATGGAATGGAAGCCAATTTTAATAGCGAAATGTATACAGTATATTGAACTTTATTCCAATTTCGTAACGTACAAACTAGATACGATACAGTAACTGCCGGAAATTTTCGAGACTGCGCGAAAATTTTCTGGAAGACGCGCGCCTGTGGGCTCGTATCTAGTTTGCACGTTACAGAATTGACATAACGTTCATTATGCAATTTTCACAAACATTAGCATCCATTCCGTTCTGCGATAATGTAAATTGAGCCTAACGGAACCAGGACTGTCATACGCGGAAATGCAGGTAGTTAGATATTATAGTTTATAACAGAAATTGGGCTATCCGAGTCCAAATTAGTTCGTAAGAAGATTTATGTGAAAATTATATGCATGTTGTGCTTACATCTAGTAGGTTCCATTGTATTCGAATTATATTAAAGCATGTCTAGTTAAGACTGATAACTCTGTAACCAATTTTGTAAGCCAAATAAAAGAAATTGCAAACTAAATGATACCTGGAGACTTGAGGATTGGGGACATGTCAAAAATAGCACACAAAAGAAACTCTGGTAGGCCTCAATAGAAAAGTGGGTAAAAGTACAGAACGAGGAATAATATTCAAAGCAAATATATAGAAAGAATAATTTAGAACCAAGTTTATGTAACCGACCCATCTGACCGCTCAGAAGAAGATTTAACGATCCGATGGATGTCAATCGCAAACAGTTTTTGCTATTCACAGAATATCATGATAAGCATAAGTCGACCCCCAAGACTCGACATGCAATGGAGGCAATAGACAGTGATGTCGCACGCGATATCGTATAAAAAGGGAACTGATAAGTGTGAAATATGTTCACACCAGTTTGGCTTTTGACAAGAATGTTAATTTGGCACTGTAATGATACAACGTCGCGATTCATTATATCGATAAAGAAGTTATTTTAAACAAAACACAGTTGAGAACTTGAATCAATTAAGTTTTATTGAATGTCACAATTTTTCACCACCATGATATTCAATTATTGTGAAATTACTCCAGTAGCTTTTTTATAATTATTAAACAAAGATCGAAATACGAGTCGAAGAAAAACTTGGAAAATATTCTCTTGGATTCGATTGGATTCGAACCAACGTCTCCCAGCAAACCATGCCAGATGCTATGCTAAGTATGCACGGTAATCTGGGAACAATTATAATTTCATTTTACAGCTTTATCGATTATATTTTGAGTATGATCGCAAGAAAATAATCTTGTATCAATAAGATTTTGTATAAGTTTTAGTAAGATTATCCAAGAAGTTGGTCTTTACAGTCATACGTGTATAAATTAATTTGATGGTATCTACTATGTCTACTCTTCACGTTTAA